GGGGCAGATGCTTAATGCAGGAGCTGTCCCCTGGTGGTCAGTGCGCTCCCACATGGGGGAGCTCTGCTCAGCCACAAGCCAGGCTGATGGCTGCCAGCACAGCGGTGGTGGCAGGAGCCTCTCCCACCTTCTCAGCAGCACTAAGGATGTCCAACTGCAGCTTAGGTCTGCTCCCTGCTGGAAAGTGGACATCCCCTGAGGGCTGCCAGGCTGCCAGAGGGATATCTGACTGCCAGCTTGGGCCTGATACCCCAGGGAGCGGGCCTAAGCCAGCAGGTGGACACCTCTGAGGGGTCCCAGACTGCAAGAGGGCATAGGCCGGGCTTGAGGGACCCCCGAGTGCACAAATTTTTGTGCACCGGGCCTCTAGTTAAGTATAAAAACTTACTATCATGATGATACCAAAAGTTAGAAAGTGGAGACACTTCGGTTCCAGAACAATCACATTCATTATTTCAGCGTGATTTTATGTTGTTTTTATTTCTTTTTAATTTAGTTGTGGTAAAATATACATAACATAAAATTTTAATTATTTTTAATACATAAAATTACCCAGTATTTATCTTTTTGTGACTGGCTTATTACACTTAGCATAATCATCAAGGTTAGTTTATGTAGTAGGATGTGTCAGAATTTCCTTCCTTTTTATGACCTTCTAGAGGCCCGATGCACGAAATTCGTGCAAGAATAGGCCTTCCTTCCCCCAGCTGCTGGCACCGGCTTCCCTCTGGCCACTGGCAGGCACCGGGCTTCCCTCCCAGCCCCAGCTTTGTCTGGAAGGTCGTTCAGTCCAATTAGCATATTATGCTTTTATTATTATAGATAATATTCCATTGTATGTAGATAGCACATTTTGTTTATCCATTCACTCCTCAGTGGATGCTTGGGTTGATTCCACCTTTTGGCTATTGTGAATGAATAATGCTACTATGAACCTGGGTGTGCAAATACTTACTTTAGTGTCTGCTTTCAATTCTTTTGGGTGTATACTCAGAAGTGGAATTGCTATATTATATGATAATTCTATTTTAAAATTTTTGAGGAACCACCATACTATTTTCCACAGTGGCTGTACATTTTATGTTTCTATCAGAATTGCACAAGGGTTCTAATTACTCTACCTCCTTACCAACACTTATTTTCTATTTTTTTAATACTAGCTATTCTAATAGGTATGGAGTGGTATCTTATTGTGATTTTGATTTACATTTCTCTAATGATTAGTGATGTTGGGTATCTTTTCATGTACTTATTGGCCATTTGTATATCTTTGGAGAAATGTGTATTCAAATCCTTTGCCCTTTTTTGAATCTGGTTGTTTTGTTGTTAAGTTGTAGGAGTTCTGTATATATTCTGATGTTAAACCCACATCAAATATATGAGTTACAGTATTTTCTCCTATTCTGTGTAGGTTGTCTTTTCACTGTTGATAGTGTCCTTTAATGGACAAAAGTTTTAAATTTTTATATAGTCTATATCTTTTTTTGTTTTTTTTTTCTGTGTTTTTGGTGTTATATCTAAGAAATCATTGGAAAGTCCAGTATCATGAAATTTTTCCTAAGAGTTTTAGGTTTAGGTGTAGATATTTTTTTTTAAGGAAGGAAATTCTTATTTATTTGTTTGTTTGTTTATTTTGAGAGAGAAAGAGAAACATCAATTTGTTGTTCCACTTATTTATACATTTATTGACTGCTTTCTTGTATGTGCCCTGACTAGGGATCAAACTCGCAACATGGGTATATTGGGATGCTGCTCTAACCAACTGCCCTACCCAGACAGGGCAGTGCAGATCCATTTTTTAAGTTAGTTTTCATAGATGGTGTAAAGTAAGAGTCCACCTTCATTCCTTGTGTGTGGATTTCCAGTTTTTCCAACACCATTTGTTGAAAACACTACCCATCACCATTGAATGGCCTTGTCACCCTTGTCTAAAATCATTTTGCTATATATATGATGGTTTGTTTTTGAGCGCTCTATTCTGTTCCATTTGTCCATATATTCATCTTTATGCCTGTACTATACCAGTTTTTGTTTGTTTGTTTAATCCTCACCCAAGGATATTTTTTCCATTGATTTTTAGAGAGTAGAAGGGAGGGGGAGAGACATAGAGAGAGAGAAAAATTGATGTGAAGAGACACATCATTTAGTTGCCACTTTCATGCGCCCCAACCAGGACTAGGGATTGAGCCCGCAACCCAGGAACATGCCCTTGACCAGAATCGAACCCAGGACCCTTTAATCTGCTTCAGTGCTCTATCCACTGAGTCAAACTGGCTAGGGCTCACACCATCCTAAATAATAAAAGGGTAATATGCAAATTGACCGAACGACAGAACAACTGGTTGCTATGATGCACAATGACCACCAGGGGGCAGATGCTCAGTGCAGGAGCTGCCCCTGGTGGTCAGTGCGCTCCCACAGGGGAGCACCACTCAGCCACAAGCCCTGCTGATGGCTGGCGAGCGCAGCAGCGGTCCTCCGCAGCAGTGCTAAGGATGTCCGACTGTAGCTTAGGCCTGCTCACCAGGTGGGCCTAAGCCAGGGGTGGGCAAACTTTTTGACTCGAGGGCCACAATGGGTTCTTAAACTGGACCGGAGGGCCGGAACAAAAGCATGGATGGAGTGTTTGTGTGAACTAATATAAATTCAAAGTAAACATCATTAAAAAAAAGGGTACGGTTTTTTTTTTTTTAGTTTTATTCATTCCAACCAGGCCGGATCCGGCCCGCGGGCCGTAGTTTGCCCACGGCTGACCTAGGGCCAGGGGGAAGGGAACGTAACTTCATAGTAAGTTTTTTTTTTTCTTTAATTTTTATAGGGATAGAGGAAAGGAAAGGGAGAGAAACATTGATTTGTTGTTCCACTTATTTATGCATTCATTGATTGATTCCTGTATGTGCCCTGATTGGGGATCAAATCTGCAGTTTTGGCGTATTGGGATGATGCTCTAATGAACTGAGCTACCCAGCCAGGGCATGTAGAAAGTTTTGGAATAAAAAAGTATGAGACCTCCAATTTTGTTACTTTTCAAGATTGTTTTGGCTATTCCAGGTCTGATATTTTGTTTTGAGTAGTGTATAAAAGGGCCAGGTTTTGCCCCTAAATTCCTCAAAGTTCTTTTATTTTACTAATACCTGAGACCTAGTACTTTGTCTTACCTAAAGTAGGAGGCCTGGGATTCGAATCTATGTCTCTTGGTTTGCAGTTCAAGTTTTTCTACCTTTCTCCACAGAATAGAATTTGGTTTTCTTAAACCATGGCACAAAAGGGAAAGATCTTTACAAACATGCACAGGCTCTCTTTGTAAACATACTTTGAATCCCAGCATCTGTCTTTGGTCTCTTATTAGTTACTATCTCCTATTGGTAAACATAGTTAAATCTGAGTACTACTAGATTTACCTGAGAAAACACTGGTTCTCATACAGATATCCATATAATAACATTGGCTTTAAGATGAATCCAACACAACTAACACTGTGGAGTAGGATCCACTTAACGCTTTCTTGTTTAAATCATTGATACTAAAACAGTATAGTTAGAGCGCAGTTATAATAATATTAGCCTGGCCTTATCACTTAGTTTGAATATTAATAGAAGCCAGGGAATGGTATTTGAGTTTGTGCTATATGGAATGGAATGCAAAGTTCTACTAAAGCCCATTCATTTTTGCTTACCTCTTGAGTGTAAGATATGTCACTCTGCTATAGGATTATTTGATGGCTTTCCCACTTCTATCTGTGATACAATACTTTATGCCTTTATTCAGACACTCTACTTTATCCTTCTATAGCAATACTCCTAGTGTACTTCTGGCAGTAACACTAATCCAGAAAGTAAGTGAAGCAGATTATGTTAAAATTTTCATGACACTAGAGCTAGTGTGTAGACTAAATCTATTTTTAAGTGGAATTAAACTTTTTAAAGTAGAAAAAAGATACTCAGAAGCAAAGTATTTAGATTAATGTTAGCTCTATTCAAACCTCTTTCACTGGCAAAAAGAGGTTTACATAAAAATCTTGGTAACTAGAGACCAACAATACCTGTATAAGAATCAGTGCTTTCTTACTTAAACCCAGTAGCACTCAGAATTGTTCAATGAATACCATTTGTTTCTCAGATATCCCAATGTCTGTGGGTATAATTGATCCTCGGGCTAATCCAAACCAACTAAACACAGTGGAGTTCCTGTGGGACCCTGCAAAGAGGACATCTGTGTTTATTCAGGTAAGGCATTGCAGGTGGGGTTCCAGTTATGAAGAGCATCTCTTACTACAAATTTGTTTCTTAAAGAATAAAAACATGTTGAGTTGGAAATCTTTACAGGGCTCCAGTATGGCTCTCAAGTGCAGACTCCTGAGCATGTTCCTGAAAGCAATGAGGAGTTTCTTCATTGCTCTTCTGATGTCCCCAATTTATGTATTTGTTTCTCCCCAAAATGCTTACTAACGGCTACATAATACAAGGTAGGTCAAAAGTAGGTTTACATCTGTTCCTATGGAAAATAATACAACAATTAATAAATAATATAAGAATACACTCTGTGTTTTGCATGCTCACAACTGTAAACCTACTTTTGCCCTACTCTGTATTTTATTCTGGATATACCATAACTTATCTAATGATTATTTAGCATTGAGATTATCCTGATTTTTCACTATTATCCATAAGGTTATTTTGAACATCTTTATACTTAAAATTTGATTTGCATATGTGATTATCACCTTTGGGTAGATTCCTTGAAAATTCTTATTTGTCGTCAGGATAGCTAATAGATTAAGTGGTCCCCATGTTAACACTTTGTATACATAATTTTATTTAAGATTTTCAACAATAATCCTGTGGAGTAGGACTAGTCCTTGATACTTAGAGAAGTTAATAACTTACCCAAGCTAGTATTTGGTCAGTCAGAGTTCCACTGTTCAGATTCACCAAGGTCTTAGATTTTATGCAGAAGCCAGGCAAACCTTTTTCCTCCTATTGCCAGCTTTTATATATACTATTTTCCCAGCTTTCATATATACTATTTTCCCAGCATAGATGGTGCCTCCGCTTGCTAAAATCTATCTAAAAGTCCAGGAAACTTTTACTAACAGAAATAATTTTTTTTATGTTAACTCTATATTCTCTGACGCAGTTAATTTAATTCCTCACAGTAGCTTTTGTTAGCATTAGATATATTTTTGTTGTTGTTGTTAATCCTCACCCAAGGATATTTTTCCATTGATTTTTAGGGAGAGTGGGAGAGAGAGGGAAGACAGAGAGAAACATTGATGTGAGAGAAACACATCAATTGGTTGCCTCCTGCACAGGCCCTGACCAGGTCCAGGCCAGGGAGGAGCCTGTAACCAAGGTATGTGCCCTTGACCGGAATTGAACCCAGGACCCTTTGGTCCGCAAGCTGACACTTTATCTATCCACTGAGCCAAACTGGGTAGGGCAACATTAGATCTATTTTGTTTGCATTTGTAAATCATTTAAGTTTTCCTCATTTCCATCATTAGAGTATAAATTCTTCAAGATAAAAAGAGTAAAAGTTTTTTTTGTAGTTGTTCACAGTGCTTTTGAAAAGCTTTGCTATTAGTAGTTGCTCAAAGATGTTGACTGGTTTGTCTGGCTTAGCAGTACTGGAAGGTGGACATTGTCTTCTCTTCAGGTGCACTGTATCAGCACAGAGTTCACCATGAGGAAACATGGCGGAGAAAAGGGAGTGCCGTTCCGAGTACAAATCGATACCTTCAAGGAGAACGAGAGCGGGGAGTATACTGAGCACTTGCACTCAGCCAGCTGCCAGATCAAAGTCTTCAAGGTATTCCTGGGCGTTGTGGTGGCCTTGGAACTACTTGCCTCCTCTTTCAGTTGTAACATTTCGTCCCAAGTCAGAAAGCCAGCTTGTTTGTTTTTTTCAAAAACTAAACTATGAAAACTCATGGATTTTCATTGAATGCTCTTAAAGCCTGTTAAAGTGATAAACTTTTAAAAACTCACCAAAATTATGAAAAGTTGACAGTTTTGGTTACATTCATACTTGATCTTCTTTCCTTATTTTGGTCTTTATCACGTGGATAAATATGTTCTCATTTAAGAAGATTCATTAATACAAAAGTGTTTCGAGCACAACACTGACGTTCCCCTTTGTCAGTCTTACCTTGACTCTCCAACCTCTCCCCAGAGGTAACCACTGTTACAATTTAGTGTGTATGTATCCTTCTAGTCCCCTTCTGTGCTTTTAGTACACATGTTCATAGGTATACACATATTTTCTTTTCTTTCAAACATAAGTGGGCTTATACGGTATGAACTGTTTTGAGGCTTGCTTTTTTCAATTAACCTGTGTGATTTAGAGATCTTTCCATGTCCATAGTTATAGATCTCCTATTCTTTTTTAACTTCCTCAAACATTTAAATTTCCTATTTTCAGACTTATATGCAATGATGCATTTTGTCTTTATATCATTAGAATATATATTTGTTTCACTTGTGACTGTTTAAGTTTTTAGAAATAATATTGTTGGGTGAAGGGTGAGTTTAAAACCAAGTATTTCTCATTTCAGCCCAAAGGTGCAGACAGAAAGCAAAAAACAGATAGAGAGAAAATGGAGAAACGAACACCTCATGAAAAGGAGAAATATCAACCTTCCTATGAGACCACTATACTTACAGAGGTAAAAAGACTTCTTTTCGTGACAATTTTAATCAATACTTTTTATTCTTAAGAAAAAATCCAATCAATTACATATATCAAATCATTATCTTGTGATTTACCTAAAACTAATATGTTATGTATCAGTTATATCTCAGTTTTTAAAAATTATTTTCCACCTGTTCAAAATTTATTTGACCTCTTAGTTATGGGGGACTCTGAAGAACTAAAATTTACTTTTACTAATCAAGATGTGCCATTTAAGTAAACATGTTTTGGTCGAACACTAGGGTCAATTATACTTTTTAGCATCTAAGTTTTCCTTTGTTTTAGTGTTCTCCGTGGCCCGAAATCACATATGTCAATAATTCCCCATCCCCTGGCTTCAACAGTTCGCATAGCAGTTTTTCCCTTGGGGAAGGGTAAGTCTGGGAAATGAAATTGGCTTGTGTTTTGTCCTAAATGTGTATTTTTTTATTATCTTTCTATAGACAAGATCTTTCTAAATCAATCAGTACTTATATTTGGTCAGTCTTTGATGGACTTACATAGTAACTGAGGTTTGGATTACCTTCAAAGACACGGAAGGCATTTTGTTTTTAACACTGTGTCTATGTAAGGCCTTGTCTCATAGAGGAGAGTGCACGAGAATAGGTTAGACTTCGTTGCTATGGCAAGCTCAAATTGCGTCAGACAGTTTTGATCATCTGCCAGGGTGTTGCTTGTAAGAGACTGAAAGAGTTTTACGTACCCCTTTCTCTTCTTTTTTCCTCCCATTAGAACATCACTTTTACAGTCAGTTTTTAGTGAGTCAGGGACTGATTTTCTGGGCTTTTCGCTTCTCCCTATTACTGCTTTTTTTGATTATTTCACTTCCTGATCATACTCTCACCAGAGACTGGTCATCAGAATTGAAACACAGTTGTACAAACATTAATATCTGTTTTGTTACTTATGAAGAATGATCCTAACACCTAATTATCATGAATCTTTGCTAATCAGGGAAGAAGGTTGAACATGATAGCTAAAGAGTGTCTTATCACCCTATTAGTACATATTCCACATGGGCCATATTGAAATTTCAAATAGGCTATGAAATGTGTGGATATATTGCTTGGTTGTAATGTTTGTTTTTAATTTATTTAGGCTCTGTGTTCAACCTATTTCTGAAATATTTAATTAAGGTGGCTTAAATATTCAACATGCATCAATTAAGAATAAAAATAGGTAGAAGTTGTAGAAAGAAGAGTTAACTAGGGCCTTGAGATAAGTTACTCACTAAATTTAAAGACTGAATTTGAATTTTGCAGTTAAGGGAGGGGGGGCAGAAAAAATACCTTTTAGGAAAGAAAAATCTCTTATTCACATGGATTATTCAGCCTACTTATAAGCAATTTTAATTATTATATAGGATTTAAGAGTTTTTTTTCCCTTTTTGTCATGTACTTCATTATTAGGCTCAAATTTCCACTCATAAAAAAAAGTAAACATTAGGAAAGAGGGACAGTCTGTAAAGCAAAAGGAAGTACAGGGAAAAACCTACGGTGTAGAAATAGCCCTTGGATTAGCCCTTAGATAACACTAATTTTTGAAGCTGTTTTAAAAATAATTATTGTTTTTTGCTATAAAAAGTGTGGGATCCCATTGCATCTCATAAATTTTATTCTAATATTTTCCCTGTATGTTTATACATTTATATATTTGATGCAGTAATATATTGATTACTTTTATATTCTGACACTTAGTTTACATTCTAATAAATTTATATTAAATACTGTTTATGCCCTAATTCAGTGATGGCGAACCTATGGCACGCGTGTCAGAGGTGACACGCAAACTCATTTTTTTGGTTGATTTTTCTTTGTTAAATGGCATTTAAATATATAAAATAAATATCAAAAATATATGTCTTTGTTTTACTATGGTTGCAAATATAAAAAAATTTCTATATGTGACATGGCACCAGAGTTAAGTTAGGGTTTTTCAAAACGCTGACACGCCAAGCTCAAAAGGTTTGCCATCACTGCCTTAATTTATCTAATAAGTCCCAACGTATTGGAATCTTGATTTTTTTCCAATTTCTCCAATAATAATAAAATGTTGCAAATCTCATAGCTTCTCCCCCTTCAACCCTCCCCCCAAAATCTTTACAATGAATTAGTAGATAATGGAAGTATTGGGTCCAAGAATAAGAGTGTTTTATGAGAAAAGCACAGATTTCTTTAAATCTCTAGTTTAGGACTTACTTTGAGAGTGAAGAATGATGATGAACCTTAGTATGTGTCATGGACTCATCCTTTCATTATAAATGTTTCTTTAGAAATGGTTCACCAAACCACCAGCCAGAGCCGCCCCCGCCAGTCACAGATGTAAGTCTAAAGTTAAATGTCAGTTATTTGCAATGTCTAATAATACTTTGATGACTATGCAGTTCAATAGAAGTGCCCAACTGGTAAGGAGTATTCATTCATTCATTAAACAAACATTTATTGAATTTTGACTATGAACAGATACTGTGCTAGGGACTGCAGATATAAAACAAGTACTGTAGGACCCTTGTATTTAAGGAATTTACAATCTGGTGGGGAAGATAAGGATGGAACTCCAAGGGTTTCTTGTAGGGTTAGAGAAAGAAGACTGATGTACAACTTCCAAGCAAACTAGACCTATCTGAGTGTGGGTGTGTTTGGCTATGTGTTACCTAATAACATTTACCTTTTTGAAATTCAACCTATTTAGTTACCAAAAAAAAAATTGCTTTCTCTCTTTCAGAACCTCTTGCCAACAACCACACCTCAGGAAGCTCAGCAGTGGTTGCATCGAAACCGGTTTTCTACATTCACAAGGCTTTTTACAAACTTCTCAGGTTAAATTTGCTTGTCCTTTGTTTTCTCCAGCATGGGATATTCTTTTATATTCTAGGGCCTTCTGGTATCCGTGTGAGGGTGTGTGTGCGTGCGCGCGCGCGTGTGTGTGTGCTATTAAATACTTAAAAAGAAAGATCTCTTAGTTTAAACTCACTTTAATTTTAAAATATTTATTCTTTACAACACTTCATATAGTATTTTATCAAGGAACATTTGGAGGTAGTCTGAAATTTCCCCTTGATATCACTATATTATATTTTATTTGCACATTCCACTTTTATTTAATACCTTCAGTTACCAGGTATGGTAGGAATACACAGATGGATAAGGCATACATATTTCCTAATCACTCATTATCTAGTATCAAAAAATCAAAATACCTCTCCCCCCCCCCAAAAAAAGGGGGTAAACAAGTAGTTGTGATGTAGTAGATACAAAGTTAGGCATTTAGAGGGGTTAGGGAACATGTGTGATGCATGAAGAATGAGGAGGAGTCTGTTGGTCAGACAGTGGAAGGTTAATTCAGGCAAGAGGAGCAACTTCTCATTAGACATCATCATTGTAATTAAAACATAGGGTTAAGTGGAGAAGTAATTGGGTGGGAATTGAGGTGGGAGATGAGCAGGGGCCAGATCATGGAGGGCCTTACACACCATGCAAAAGATTATGGATTATAACATAGTAGTAATGAGGTGTCCTTGTAACTGAGCCCATTTTAATAGTTATTAACAAAGAAAATCTTTGCCTCTATCACCCATTTTCTTATATTTATTTCAGGGGCAGATTTATTGAAACTAACTAGAGATGATGTGATCCAAATCTGTGGCCCTGCAGATGGAATCAGACTTTTTAATGCGTTAAAAGGCCGGTATGTGATTAGTGTTTAGTGTTAAAATATCAGTGAGGTTGGATTTCAAATGGATTTGGATTCAGGGATTCTTCACAATTTTCATTGCACAGCTAAATCCATCTTGTCAAAACATTCTATTTGAATGCTAACTAAGTACCAAATAAACAAAGATGAAAAATATCCTTTCTTACACTTGATTCAAGGAATTCCTCATGATATCCCATTTTTTATTTTCAGGTAGTTTTTTTCATTCAATAAATATTCATTGTCCCTATTATGAGCCATTGGGCTCTGGGGATATATTAGAGAGCAAAATAAACATGGAGACTACTTTCTAATGGAAAGAGATAAAGATATAAACAGTATTTTGGTTAGTGATAGTACTTTGAAGTAAAACAAACAAAAACAAGGTTGTGACCTATAGAGTACCCAGCATTTGGTTAGGAAAGATCTTTCTGAGGGGGGATTATTTACCATCTACGGCCAAACCACCCTGATCTTGGAAGCTAAGCAAGGCCAGGCCTGGTTAGTACTTGGATGGAAGGAGGGATTATTTAAACTGTTATGAGAAAATGAAACTATAAGGGAAGAGCCTTCTAGGCAGAGGGAGCAACAGATGTTAAGGCTCTGAATTCAGTTTTAGCTAGAGAATAGATCATTCTTAAGTTTGTACAGGAATTGCTTAAGTGGTCTTCTTACAAATATTATTTATAATACAGAGAGTGTCTTATAGACCCAATTTGTGATTTCTAATTTCCAATAGGTACTACTAATATTAATGGAAAAAACATACAGGTCAATGCCATAGAACCAAATCAGTGACTAAATAATGAAACAGATTGTGTAGTATTTGTGTTTGCACATCACAAGAGTTATCAGGTTGGCTAGAATCTTGAAAAATTTTAAGGAAAGAGGTGAAATTCAGGAATAAATGACTTGGGGAATGGATATTTCATTTTTACATGTATTATCTAAAGAGCATTAAAAAACAGGAAGCAGTGATGGAAAAAAATAAATTTTAAAAAAAGAAATAGTGAGCAATAAAGTAATGAGATCAAGAAGTAATTGAATAGGGTTATCAAAGAAGTAAGAACAGCACTAACTGGTTTTGGCACCTACCTCAGTTGCCCACATGTGGAGGCAACCAAATGATGTGTCTCTCTCACATCCATGTTTCTCTTGCTCTCTGTCTCTCCCCCTCCCTTCCACTCTCTCCAAAGAAGTAAGAACAGAAAGAAGGCTTAGCCTACTTAGTTTTGTGTGTGTTTTTAAAAAAATTTTTTTAATCCTCCCCTGAGGATATTTTTTCCCATTGCTTTTCAGAGAGAGTAGAAGAGAGGGAGGAGAGAGAAACATCAATGTGAGAGAGACACATTGACTGGTTGCCTCCTGCACATGCACCTGCAATCCAGGTGTGTGCCCTTGACTGGGAATCAAACCGGAGACCCTTCAGTGCACAGGCTGACACTCTAACCATTGAGCAACACTGGCCAGGGCCTGACTTATGATGGCTCAACTTATGATTGTTCAACTTTATGATGGTGTGAAAGTGATATGCAATCAGTAGAAACTGTACTTCAAATTGTGAATTTTGGTCTTTTCCCAGCTCTAATGATAAGTGGTATCTATCTATATATATAAAAGCCTAAGCGACCGTTATGACCAGTCAACCGAACGACCAATTGAATGGTCGCTATGATGACACACTGACCACCAGGCGCAGACGCTCAACACAGGAGCTGCCCCCTGGTGGTCAGTGTGCTCCCACAGCCAATCTCTGGCTGCTGGCCATTCTCCCATGGTCCCTTTCTCCCATGGTCCCTTCCCCTGGCCGGCACCGATCCAGCCAGGTCGAGGGACTCCCCTCCCCCCACCTGTGCATGAATTCGTGCACCGGGCCTCTAGTAATACTATAATGCTGAGCAGTGGCAGTGAGATAATTTTGCCCTACTATAGGCTCATGTAAGTGTTCTGATCATGTTTAAGGTAGGCTAGGCCAGTGGTCGGCAAACTGCTGCTCGGCAAACCGCGGCTCGCGAGCCACATACAGCTCTTTGGCCCCTTGAGTGTGGCTCTTCCACAAAATACCGGCTCTTCCACAAAAACCAACTTCTGCGCATGGGCCACGAAGTTTCAATTGCACTGTATGTGCACGCCCGCACCTGGTATTTTGTGGAAGAGCCACACTCAAGGGGCCAAAGAGCCGCATGTGGCTTGCAAGCCGCGCTTTGCCGACCACGGGGCTAGGCTAAGCTATGATCTTTGGTAGATTAGGTGTATTAAATGCATTTTTTATTTATGATATTTTCAGTTTATGATGGGTTTATCGGGACATAACCCCACCGTATGTTGAGGAACATCTGTATTTCTAACCTGTATATCAAAAGTCGCTAACTCAGGTGGCTACAGAGGCCACATGTAAATGAGTGACAGTCAAGCCTGGGGTGTACTGAAGAATGCATGCCCCATGCAAGGAGAAGAGCCGATTGTTATTTTGTGGAATGAGGGCTTTGGATTGCCAAATCTGATTTTTGAAAAGCCACAAATTCAGAGGTTTATATGGTGCCTTCTGTTGGAAGGAATTCAGTTAAATGTGTGCACGTGCGCGCGCACACACATACACACACACACACACACAGACACACACACAAACACACACACACACACGGAAGCTAATAAAACAGGGCAAATGAGCTGCATTGGCCCATGGGCTGCCAATTTTCAACCGTTGCTCTATAGTATTAACATAATTACACAAGTTGTCCCTTAAAATGTGCTTGCTGTGAAAAATATAAGACTAACAGCTTTTTTTTCTCTCTCACTAGGATGGTGCGCCCAAGGCTAACCATTTATGTTTGCCAGGAATCCTTGCAGTTGAGGGAGCAGCAGCAACAGCAGCAGCAGCAGCAACAACAGCAACAGCAGCAGAAGCATGAGGATGGAGACTCAAATGGTACTTTCTTCGGTAGGTCATTCGGGACAAGGCCAGGAAAGATATGAAAAAAAGGTAAAGAGATTACTTACAAGCATGTGTGATAGGAATTTATCAAATAGCAGATTTAGAAGCAATTTGCTAGAAGTAATGGTAATAGCTTGAGTTCCTAATATATGCCAGACACTATTCTCAGCACTTTTTTACACATTTGAATTTTTACAACTAGTATCTCCTCTTTGCAGTAGATTTTATTGTTATCTCCGACATTTAGGTTAGGAAAATGAGACTTAGGGATCTTAAGTAACTTACTCTCAACCACAAGCAAGTGGTTGAGTCAAGACTCAGGATTTGACTTTGAGTCCTTCAGAAACTGAGCATTCCTAGTGATCAGATTACCAATCAAGGGCACAGATAAGAACAGATAAAGTTTAAGAACAGATAAACTTTGTACTGACTGCCATTGCTTTCTCCTTTTTGCAGTGTACCATGCCATCTACCTAGAAGAACTGACAGCTGTTGAATTGACAGAAAAAATTGCTCAGCTTTTCAGCATTTCCCCTTGCCAGATCAGCCAGATCTACAAGCAGGGGCCAACAGGAATCCATGTGCTCATTAGTGATGAGGTAGATTTTCAGTACAGCTGAATCACCAGATGACAATGAAGTTGTCAGGGCATATAGCAGGAGCAAGAGCAGTTCTGTTGGGGCAGAGTGCTCTGTTTTCTAGACCAGAGGTTCCCAGATGTTTTTGCTTGCTTACCTCCTAAAATTATTTTTTAAAAATATGTATCTCTTTGCACATTTTTAGGGACTTAAAATTTTTTCTCTTAAGTTTATTTATTTTTATTTTTTATTCTCACCCAAGGATATTTTTTCCATTGACTTTTAGAGAGAGTGGAAGGGAGGGGAGAAGGGGCAGAGAGAGGAGAGAGAGAGAGAGAGAGAGAGAGAGAGAGAGAAACAGAGAAACATTGATTGGTTGCCCTGACCGGGGCCTGGGATCGAACCTGTAACCAAGGTACGTACCCTTGACTGGGAATTGAACCCGAGACCCTTTGGTCCAAGGGCTGACCCTCTAATCATGAGCAACATGGGCCAGGGCTCTTTTAAGTTTAAAGAAGTTGCACAGGAAGCTATTTCTGGGGATATTATATGACATTTAAAAAATGAAATGGTTGCTTGGCTGGAGTGGCTCAGTTGGTTGAGTGATATGTCCTATACACGGAAAGGTTGACAGTTTGATTCCCAGTCAGGGCACATACCTGGGTTACAGCATGTTTGGAAGGCAACCAATCATTGTTTCTTTCTCTCCCTTCCTCTCTAAGCATGTCCTCAGGTGAAGATTAGGAAAAAAAATTTAATAAAATAATTCTGAAATGGTTCCTTCACTGTTCTAACTATATTCCATGTAACCTAAATACAAGTGATTTAATACCATCTGTTTAAAAGAAATACATGAATATACTTTTTAACAGAATTTTTATATAATTTCCTTGAATTCATATTTCCATTTACTTCTCCATATAATTTTATCTTACCATAACATTTTTATTCTTGAACATTTTTTATTAATTTTTTTATCATATTTAATTGAGACAAACATTTGCTTCAACAAAAAAATTGTTTTAGGACCAGGCAGTGTGGCTCAGTGGTTGAGCATTGACCCATGACCCAGGGGGTCACTGTTCAATACCCTATCAGGGCACATGCCTGGGTTATGGGATTGATCCTCAGTAGGGGATCCCCAGCCGATCAATGATTCTTTCTCATCATTGATATTTTCTCTCTCTCTCCCTCTCTCTTCCTCTCTCTGAAAAAAAATCAATAAAAAATTTGTTTCAGTAAAATTGATAGATTATTTCTTCTGAATAGAATTAACACTATAAATTATACAGTTGATTAAAACAACATAAATGTATTACATGTTTTGACGAGTAATTATTAAACACATGAAGAAAAAAATTATTATAAATGCATCTATTAATGAGATGGATGGGATTGTTGGATTCCCTACTCCCTGTCTCACACACAGTTAATTCATCTATAGATGAATACTGCCTATAGAATGAAATAGAGTTCAGCATCAGTTCCATCTGTTTTGTACTCTAGATGTAAGTATTGTGGAACCTGGTTCATGTTTATTGACTGACAGCAGTGGATGGGGTTTTGTTATGACAACATGGCTCTATTTTTTTTAACTTCTGAGTTATGTGCCAAAAATTACATAGTAATGTTGTCAAAAATTATTTTGAATCATCTATCACTTGACAATTTCTGATTAGGTCACTCCAATTCTGGTGAAAAGAAAGAATTGGTAACCATGTGACCCCCACTAAGGCATTAGAGTTTACAGTTGCAGTTATACTTGGGCATTCTGGAAGCTTTTATACTCCAGGGCAATGCATTTTGGTAGGATTCCAGGAAGGTGAAACTCATGCCTTTATTTTATAAAATGGGCAAAGGGAGTTTGAGAAGGAAAAGTGGGAAAGGAAAACTGAAGAGGTGTTCAGGAAGTTTTAGAAAAGAGTAGATAGGGAAGTTGAAGAACTAGAGGTCAGTTCTCGCATATGGGCCTCTCAATGTCCGTGTGCCCCTTGGAAAGTCTTGGGGTTAACCCAGGAAAATGCATACTCCAATGTTAAGATCACTGTTTTAAACGACTTAGCTTTTAAAACTTAGAAACTAAATGGGAGAAAACAAAGCAAAGGATTATTTTTCACTTAAATCTAATATTATAAAAAGCCACATAAGCAAAATAAATACAACAAACCCAAGTTTTTTAAAATCAGCAAATTTTCTTGCTTTTTTTTCAGATGATACAGAATTTTCAGGAAGAAGCCTGTTTTATTCTGGACACCATGAAAGGTAATATAATAGTAAAACAAATACCTTTTTCTAAGGAGCTTAAGAGCTTTTTTTTCATACTTCTTTGAGGAGAGAGGGAAGGTATGAATCACCATATTTGAGGCAGAGAAAGTGACATAACATTAGAGGTGTACCTTTGTATGAATGGCTTTTTGTCATTGTCAGAATAGACAAAGTATAACTGATGATTCTCTGCCATTCTCTTTCGCCTTTCATGGACAAATGAGGAAATTGAGGCATGTTTTTATAATGCAAATTTATTATAAGTATTCTGTGACAATTAATACGTATGCTGCTCTTTGCTCTGCTGTGTGTTTTTTTCCCCTCAAAATCAAAAGAACCTAACTGTACTTTTTTCTTTCTCATGTGTCTTAAAGATGACTAAAGATTACTCTCTCTTTCTTTTTTTTTTCTTTTTTTACAGCAGAAACCAGCGATAGCTATCATATTATACTGAAGTAGGTGTGGGGCTCCATCCTCACTGGCTGCTGCTTCCTTCACCGCTTGGAAACTCCTCTCTCGAGGGGGTTGCAAATGGAGATTTGAAGGTCTGCAGGAATCTGACTGTGGGGGGGAGTCCCGGTCATGGAGGCAGCATCTCAGCCATCTGTGTGGGCCCCAGCTCTGGTGGCATACACAGATTACTGCCCAACATGCATTTCTGCAGCTGTTTCTTAGTTAAAATTTCTGGACTCTGTTGTTATTGAATATCAGTAGAAGCTCCATTTCATTTGGGGTGTATGTAGGACATAATGATGATAATTGTGTGATGTTTAATGGAAAGATGTTAAATTTTGTGATATGGAGCTCTTGTGTAATTTTTTTCTAATATAAAAAAGTGAACATCTATATTCATAAGACTAGAGCCTCAATCTCTTTTGCATCAAACATAAACTGGCTTTTACCACAGTCGGCCCCTGAAAACCTCATCCAAGAGAATTTTTCTTTTGGTTCCCCTGTAATATGATGACTAATATTAATTTTAGCTGACATTTATGGGGCATTTATTTGTGCCAGGCCGTGTGAAAATTCTTCTAATGGATTATCTGGTTTAAATCCTCTTAATAATCCTATATGAAGAGGTAATAATGATCCCTAATTGAAGATGAGGAAATGGAGACATGTAGTGGCTAAGTAGCTTGCTGAGTAACGGGCAGCTAGCAGGCAGTGTGATGCTGAGATCCAAAACCAGGCAGTCTGGTTCTTAAAAATTGCCACTCATTATGGCCACCCTTGCAGTACCCTGTGCTTGTCATCATTTCTTACTGTGGCTCTTCTGGTGAATAGGACATAACACTGAGTGAGAACTGAGTATTTAACCACTGAAAGGGACAAACCACACCGAATGAACAAATCAAAATCTACAGAAAGTAAAAACATAAGTGCTTTGTAAACACCATCAGTTATCAGATCACAGAATTTGAGGTGGTGAAAACTAGGGATTTTCTGTAATTCCCAAAATTCACTGTTCTTGAATGACCTTCTCAAACTATTTATTAACGAGATAAACTAACCCCTCCTTTTTCTTTCCCCTCTGCATTTTCTCTTGGTATAAGAAGTTCTTTTACTCCTGTAATATTCCTTTATTTAAGCTTTATAAGAAATTCCTTCTGATTCCATTCACATTCTTCCCATGTATTTTTGTTCTTCCTTAAAGAATGATTGTGTGTTTACATGTGTAAGACTATAGGTCCTTTTTTTTTTCACATGTAAAGTTTTATCCAGAAATCCCTTTACACATGTGTTGAGTTGAAAAAAGATAATGTTCAAAGATTATGTACTGGATTTGGATGTGTGTGTTTTTAAAGCATTTGATAAAGTTTAAATGTTTTTATACAGATTTTTGTTCATTAAAATCAACCTGCAACATAGTCTGTTTCTTTTGATTGGAAACAAATTGAAAACTTTGAAACTAGAAAATTAAGTCAACTAACTTGTTTAGAACTGACCTAAGCAACTTGGCATCTTAGACCAAAATCTTTTTTTTTAGTGAATGATTACCAGGTGTCTCCGTTTGAGGGCGACATTTCTAGTATACTATATTCCTAAGACTGGTTCTCAGCTTCAGGGAAGTCAGCTCTCTCAGCAGGCTTCTACTGTATTGATTTTGTTTTTTTCCTATTCTGTCTGAATGATGTTAGGAGGGTTGGAATAGATGGCTTAAGATCCCTTCTAAATCTGAATCTGTGACTCTTGTTTACTGCAAATGATACATAGAATTCTATTAATATATCTACTATAAATTTACACTTACTAATTTTTACTTGGAGTTAGGGTGTTTTTTTAGAGTAGTCTTCAAATTTATAGGAATGAATTCATACAAGTTTGTAATCACAGATCCTTAAGTTGTCCATAAAATCTCTTAGGTTTTCTTTAGCTCCAGAAAATATTTGTAGTGCCAATCCTATATAATAATCCTATATAATAAAAGCCTAATATGCTAAGTGTCTGGTCGTCCGGTCAACCAATCAAAGCATAATATGCTAATGATATGCTAAGGCCACTCAACCACTCGCTATGATGTGCACTGACTACCAGGGGGCAGACAGTTGACCGGTTGACCAGTCGCTATGATGTGCATTGACCCCCAGGTGGCAGACGCTCCAACTGGTAGGTTAGCTTGCTGCTGGGGTCTGGCCGATAGGGACTGAGCAAGACAGGCCAGACATGCCCTGGAGCCCTCCCACGGTCCCTCCCCAGCTGGCCAACCTCCCACATCCCTCCTCGGCCCCGATAGTGCACTGGTAGGGTCCCTCGGCCTGGCCTGCGCCCTCTCGCAATCTGGGACCCCTCCGGGGATGTTGGAGAGCCGGTTTCAGCCTGATCGCACAGGCCTGGCCGAGGGATCCCACTGGTGCATGAATTTATGCACTGGGCCTCTAGTACTATATAATTGGTAAGAATTGGTATTGTGATTATTCACCTTCTTTAAAAATGGCATCTGTTCACTGTTTATCCTTTCTATTAAATCAAAATTTGAAACTATCTTTTTCATTATGAAAGTTATGCACAAAGTGATAAATTCAAACAATAAAGAATAATATAACTTACTATTTAACCTAGTTCCATTCCACAGAGGTCATCATTTTTAAAAAGTACCCCTCCATAGCTCTCTCTCTCTCTTTTTCTCTCTGCTCTCCCCCACACACAAATACTCAGATGGGTTCATGTAATAACTAATAGTCTGCAATTTGCTTTTTGAATGTATGTAACATATCTTGAACATAGTTCTATATTAGAATTTATAGTTCCATATCATTCTTTTTAAAAAATTGCCATTCCCATGCTCTGGCAGGTGTGGCTCAATTGTTTGGTGCATCCTCCCATATACTGAAAGGTTGTGATTGGGTTCCCAGTCAGGGCTCATACCTGCGTTGTGGTTTGATCCCCAGTTAGGGTGCATACAGTAGGCAACCAATTGATGTTGAACCCTCAACTCTTTGGTCCAAGGGCTGACACTCTACCAATGAGCCATTCCAGCCAAGGGGCATTGTCAGAATTTTTTTGCATGTATCTCTCAGATATATTCCTAGAAGTCAAATTTGCTGGATTTTACCTTTTAAACAATGTGACAGTTGGTATTTAAAATAGTTTAGTGTTTCTGTTAGAGTGAGGGCATATGAGAAGAGAATGTTTAGATTTTAGGCCCTCCTGAGACTAGAGTAGCATCCTATTTGATTTAACATTGTCTGTACTGTTCCCTTGAAGTGTAATAGGTTCCATCTAGAAGAATCTGCTGTATAAAGACTTGGTAGTTAAAAGGGAGTTATCCTATCTAATAAAAGAACAATATGCAAATTGACCATCACTCCAACACACAAGATGGCCACCCCCATGTGGTCAAAGATGGCTGCCACAAGATGGCCAGCAGGGGAGGGCAGTTGGGAGGGATCA